AAAAATCAATTCATATAATTCATTGCATGAATAAAATTAAGTAGAAAAAAAATGTGATCAATTCAATAAATAGAGAAAAAACTTGATAAGATTTAACCTACGTTCATGATTTTTAAAAAGTCTAAGAAAACTAGGAATAGAACTTCCGCAGTAGGATAAAGACTATTAACAAACATCCTACAGACAACATTGTACTTAATGAGGAAATACTAAAAACTTTCTCTGAGAGTCCGGAACAATGCAAAACTATCCATTATAACTACATCTATTCCACACTGTGCTGGAGAATCTAACCAGGGCAATAAGGCAAAGGAAAGAAATAAGTGGCATTTATAAAAATGACTAGGAAAAATTTTAAACTGTCATTATTTGCATACAACAATTTTGTGTGTGTAACAAATCAAAATTTATAAACTATTAAAACTAATACATTTATGAGATGCTACATGGTATTAAAAACTTACAATTAAAAAATATGCAACTACAAGATGACTGACTAGATTCAGATGGGGTGTACCTCTTCCACAGAGCGGAACCAAAATATCAAGTAGATATTCATACTTTAAATAGATCGTCTGAGAAAGAGCACTGAATTCAACAAAGAGGCAACAGGAGACACTGAGGGTGAAGGAAGGAAGGAGACATGGGGCTGCCTGTTTGGGGTTGCTGGGAGACAAGAGCTGCCCCAGACCCAAAGAAGGGGGAAGTGAAGGAACCCCAGAGCTCCACATTCCTGGGGCAGACTTCTACAATCCTAGCTACAGGAGAGTCCCTCAACCCCCATAGGCCTCCAGACTGGCATAGACAGCTGTCTGGAGATCATGCACAGGTGCTTCTCAAACTTACATGGCCTCTCACAGACTTCCAAGCACTGGGCAGCTGGAGCATGGTGCCATTCTGGGAGCCCATTACCCAAGGATCTCTGTCCTGCCCTGAGGCTGCCCCTGCCACTGCTGGCTGTTGGGCCAGGTAGTGAGAGGGGAGGCCAGGTGCTCTCACGTGCCTCAAGGAGAGGTTCCACTGCTTCTACTGTGGGACTGAGGTCATTTGGACCACATACCCCATGCCTGCCAGTCTCTCCCAAAGCTGCCTGCCTAGCCATTCCTATGGAGAGAGAACCACCCTTCCAAGTGGCAGGCCCACAGTGCAGCCACTGTTGCCCTACCTGAGTGTTCCTCCAGTGGCCAGGGACCAGCTTGCCCTCCCTATCACAGCCAGCACTTGAGTCCAGGGACCCCGAGGACAAGGCTGTTGGCCTGGTCCTATCCCTGCACAATTCAAGCATGTCATCCAGGAGCATGGAGATGAGATCTGTGATCTGCTCTGATGTGATCTGGAGCCCCCACAGTCAGAAGTGAGAGGAGAGTGTGGTGTGGGTTCATGCTGTGGCACAGGAGCTGGGAACCCCTCCCTTCATAGGACCAGACCAGGAAGGGTGTGGCTTGAGAGTCAAGGTTTCTGCCCCAGACAGGGAGTTTCAAGGCCTGGGGAGGCTTTGACATCTGAACCCAGATAGCTTAGGATGGGCCTAGTGGTTCTAGCCAGCTGCTGGTGGCTTGATGCTATAGGGAAACCCATGGGGTTGGAGGTTTGGGGACGGAGCATATCCCACTGCCAATTCCAGCTGCTGATTCATGGCCACCCCTCCCCCTAGCATGAAGGTACTTCGATGCAGCAGAAGTGCCTTTGCCCCCTCCCTGGAGGGTTGCCCCAGTAGCCTGAGACCTGACCCCAAATCCACAGCAGAATCAGCACTTGCACCAGCCTTGGAGAGCCTGGTCCAGGACTTCCCAGACCCAACCATGCCTGGCTTTGCCCCATCCAACCACTGCAGCAGCAGGGCATGGGACAGGGAGCCCTGGGAGTTCCATGGCCCCACCCCTTACATAGGACACCCAGACCTTCTGTAATGAACAAAATCCAAGGAAAAATCCCACTGCTACCCTCTCTCCTGGAAATGCCACCTACTGGCTAGGAAGTCAACCTGCACAGCTTATTAAACTGCCCACACAACTACACAGTGCTCAGCTGGCTCGTATCACAAATGCCACCTACAGACCTGCAGGTAAAACTAAACAACCCAATACTATCCCTGCTGACAGAAGTGCACAGGGCTGGGGAATAAAATAAGAGACTTCCCCCTGCTGATCTCTGCAGGAGGCAGTGATCCCTCTCACATGCCCTACTGACTGTTGCTACCACCTACAAAAAACAGTATTTGAGAAAACCATTACACTAAGGCTATCTATCATCAAAAAATTCGTAGATTTGGCCCCTTGGAAGTACCCAGAAGCTAAAGGGCCCTACACAATATATCCTACAGTCACACCCTTAAGAAAGGAATAAAGTTCCATCCAAATAAAAGTAAATCCATAAAGGAACCAGCATTGAATTCTGGGACCATAGGAAAAAAGAGTGTTGTGACACACCCAAAAGATCATACTACCTCTCTAGCAATGGACACTGCTCCCCACATCCCAGCTGCTCCAGCTTCAGCCACAGCTCAAAGGGATCCTAGCACAGCTCCGGTTACCACTCTAGAGGGCACAAGCCGTAAGCTTTGGCAGCTTCCATGTGGATTAAGTCTACAGATACACGGAGTACAAGAGTGAAGGTGACTTGGCAGCCTCCATCTACATTTCAGAAAACGTATGAGAAAGCCTAGATGCCCAGGCAGAAGCCTACTGCAAGGGTGGAGCCCTTATAGAGAACCTCTAACAAGGCTCCACACAGAGTCCCTACCAGGGCACTGCCTAGTGGAGGTATAAGAAGGGAGCTGCAGCCTTCCAGAACCCAGACTGGTTGAGCTTACAACATCAGCATGGAAAAGCCACACGGCAGAGCAGCCCAAGGCTTTGGGAGCCCACTCCTCACAACAGTGTGCACTGGATGTGGGACATAGAGTCACAGGAGATTATTTGGGAGCTTTAAAGTTTAATGACTGCCTTGCTGGGCTTTGAAATTGCATGGGGCCTATACCCCCTTTCTTTTGGCTGATTTCCCCCTTTTATAAAGGGAATGTTTACCCAATGCCTGCACTACTACTGTTTCTTGAAAGTACATAACCCATTTTGATTTTACAGGCTTGTAGATGGAAGAAACTAATCTCCAGATGAGACTTAGGACTTGAACTTCGAGTTAATACTGGAATGAGTTAAGACTTTGGGGGACTATTGGGAAGGAATGATTGTATTTTGCAGTGTGACAAAAACATGAGATTGAGGGAGACAGGGGTGGAATGATATAGTTTTGATATTTGTCCCCACCCAAATCTCATGTTGAAATATCACCCCCAATGTTGGAGGTGGGGCCTAATGAAAGTTTGGGTCATGGCGGTGGATCCCTCATGACTTAGTGATGTTCTCATGATAGTGAGTTCTCATGAGACTGGGTTATTTTGAAGTCTGTGGCATCTTCCCCCCACTTTGCTCCTGCTCTGGCTGTATGACATACCTGCTCCCACTTCACCTTCCACCATGAGTAAAAGCTTCCTGAGGCCTCCCCAGAAGTCAAGCAGATGCCAATGCTATGCTTGTACAGCCTGAAGGACTGTGAGTCAATTAAACCTCTTTTCTTTATAAATTACCCTGTCCCCGGTATTCCTTTATAGCAATGTAAGAATGGTCTAACACATTCACCATCATAAAAACTTGCAAAAGTATAAAATTTATGAGTCTCATAAAGCAGTTACACAACTGAAACTACAAAGCCACTAGGTAACAATTACCGTTATGACAGAAACAAAAATATATCAATGTCCACTGTTAATGTAAATGATTAAATTTTCCACTTAAAGGATATAGACTGATGGAAGGGATTAAAAAGAAAAACATACAGGCCGAGCCCGGTGGCTCATGCCTGTAATCCCAGCACTTTGGGAGGCTGAAGCAGGTGGATCACCTGAGGTCAGGAGTTCGAGACCAGCCTGGCCAACATGGTGAAACCCTGTTTCTACTAAAAATACAAAAATTAACTGGGTGTGATGGCACACATCTGTAATCCCAGCTACTCAGGAGACTGAGGTAGGAGAATCACTCCAGGACAGTCCATAAGGCCCCATTCTATTGAGAATAGAGGAAAGTTTTCCTTTTGTTTTCTGGTCCTGGACTTTGGGAGTGTGTCAGTTTGTTTTGAAACCAAAAGTTGAGAGCAGAAAAGGTGATTCCATGCAAAGTTGCAGTCAGTTCTTCATCGCCTCAGAAGCTGAAGGAGAGAAGAGTAGCAGAGCCTTCTTCTAGAGTGTCTCTATTCTCCACCTCTGGATGTCATCATATATGAGTGCTTGGCTGAGTGTCACTGATTCTCAATGGCAATGTGGGAAAGCATGGTACCTACTCCAAGTCACACCATTCTGTCTTGGGGTAGAAAGAAAAAATACATACTCTTGAATTCATCATGAGAACATGTCTTCTAGGTAATCATCCTACAGGAAGTCAGTATCTCTGTCACTTTAAATTGCCCAATCTTTGGTAGTTGGAAGTTCTGCCATGTAAGTCCCCTGGGTCAGTCATTAATAAAAATCTCACAATCTCCGAGAGTAATCAGACACATGACCTTGAATACCGGCATTCCCCATTCTTCAGAGCAACCATACTACTTAGACCAGACATGGGTTCAGAAAAAAATGTATTCTCTAAACTCCGACCTTTGCCTAAAACCACCCCATATCCTAGGCTAAGCTCAACAATGCCACAATTAGCAAAACAGCCCTATAATGAAGGTTTCCAAATCTTATCCTAAACAATAGCCACAGACATATCTTTAACCCAAGTTCAATTGCATTTCTAAACCAGCCACTAATGACGTTTGTGGGTGCCAAGTGAGAGTAAATGAAGGACCTGACTATTGCTTTGCTAAACATTCCAACAAGGCCAATTACTAATCCTCTGGGTACTTGAAACGTCAATGCATTGCCAAATCCTGAAGTCTGTGATAGTCTATTTAAAGATTTCTCTAGAGTCAATGAAGAAAGAATTACAAGAAAGGACCTGTGTGCAAATGATAGCAGCAGAGACAGGAACCAAAAAGATGAAGATGTGTTTGGGAGACACCACTCCTGAGCTTAGTGGGTTTCTAAGAAAATAGAATTGAAAGAAGAACTTGAATCAGAAATAAAAGGAATTCTCTCACCACATTTTTCAGGGACTCAAGAAAGCAAAATTTCATCAGAATAGATTTGAGAAAACAATATCCAATCAGGTGGATTTGATTCACTTATTCATTTTATAGTTGCATTTTCAAATTTGAAGAATTTTGCATTATTCCTAGTTTTTAATTTGGACTGAATATAGTCCTAAGAGATCTGAAAAATAGATATATTTTGAAGATTGGCTTATACATTCATAGGAAACCCAGGAAGTGAGTAGACACTAAATCCTAGAGATAATGAAGTTTTCTAACTGAAACAGCTTGTTTTCTTAGTAAATTCAGACTGACAATGGAAAGCAAAATAAACTGAAACGTCAGAATTGAGAGAGCCGTCTAGAGAATTCCAGCATCCCACTTGTCAGCTGGTAGAGTCTATTTGTGGCCGTGTTCCACGCCTGCAGGAGAAGAAAGCGGTGACCACACTCAATCTAAAATGGAGGAATCCACAATCAGCTAGATCCAGGTCAGTGAAAACTAAATCTTTTCTCTCAAATTTTAAGCAGATTAACTTGTTTTAGCCAATTTGTTTTCAGTGAAGTAGTCTTTGTCATTACATACCCGACTTAAAGTTTAGTATTTTTCTCTGAAAATGAATTTGGACACACTGACATATAAAATATCAACAGAAAAGTCTATGCATAATGTTGCCAGACCAGGCCGGGCGCGGTGGCTCACGCCTGTAATCCCAGCACTTTGAGAGACCGAGGCAGGTGGATCACGAGGTCAGGAGATTGAGACCATCCTGGCTAACACGGTGAAACCCCGTCTCTACTAAAAATACAAAAAAAATTAGCCGGGCACGATGGTGGGCACCTGTAGTCCCAGCTACTCGGGAGGCTGAGGCAAGAGAATGGCATGAACCCAGGAGGCAGAGCTTGCAGTGAGCCGAGATCGCGCCACGGCACTCCAGCCTGGGCCACAGAGCGAGACTCCGTCTCAAAAAAAAAAAAGTTGCCAGACCAGATGCTGCTAAGAACTACTGAAGTCACTTTTAAAACATTATGGTTAACATTTATGTCTCACTGAATGCACTGATTCTGTAGATTTCTGTTTGTCATGCTTGAAATGTTTTTCCCCTTTTTGTGACTTCCATATTGCTACATTGAAGTTAGAATTGGTGAATTAAATCCATTAAGAATGATTAACCATATAGTCACCATCTACAGAAGCCACGAATAAAGAGGAAGCAACTTAGCAACTGAGTTTTCCTGAAAACCAAAGATATTTTTACTCACCTTTAATGAAGCTCAGAGGTCATGATGCTGACTGATTTCTGTTTCTAGAAAGTTTTGAGGAAAACTATGTGGTTACACTTTTGCCAGGGATTAGGGAAAGAAGGAGAAAAGGGGGAGGAGAAGAAATAAAATATCTTACGCTCTTTTGTAACAACATGTACTTACTCTTGAAGCTCTTGGGATTATTCAAAAACATCTACATTCTTAAATATATTCAATGTTTTCAGGTAGCAATACAAATTTCCAGTTGTTTACCAGTTAGCAATGAAAACTACAAGTTCATCTTAATTGACCAAACTTATGCCAAAAGAGAAAACTGCATTATCTCAGGTGACCCTAACATTTCTGTCTTGCCAATAGAAAACTCAGGGAAAAAATCATGACTCATTTAATTCCATTTGTTAAGATGTGAGTGGGGAAATATATCTAATCCAGGGTATAATTCTACATGTGATAAAAATCCAACCAAGAGGAAAATGTATTTATGAAATATCATTAAATTGTATAACTTTGCACCACTTACATAGCCACAATTAAAGATGCAGAAAGAGTGAGCATGAAAAATAAGGGTCATTGCTAGGGATGGATGCAACATTCAGGGATGTTGAATGAATTATCCTCAATGAGTTGTTATTGCGATAGTTACCCAGCATTCCAAAAGAAAAATATCTCCATTTACAGCTCTGTCTCCATCTGTGTACATGTGCATTTATATGATAGAAAAGGACAACAGATCACAGAACACAGCAGCTTAGATTTAGTAAGGCTTTGCACTTTAGTATCTAATATGCATATTAGTATCTAATATACATACTGGATTCATATACCCATAAATAACCCTAACAAAAGAAAGTATAATTTCAAAACATTTGTTATTGATAAGATTTTTCCTCTCCAAAAATGAAAGAAAGCCGTATGTGAAATTGTAGAGCCAGAAAGGAAGTTTGGAAGTCAACATTTAGAACAAGATCTTGTTTTATTGTGGTACTTGTAAGATATTATCACTATTTCATTAATATATGAATTAGGAGAAATCTAATCTTCTGTTCCTCTTTACAGCTCTGCAAAACAGCAGAGGTGAGTGGCAATGTAGCTCCATCACCCCCGAAAACCAGGACTAAAGAGGTGATGAAATATTTTAGTACTGAATTTAAAATATCATCATTCAGAAATACTGTTTTTTTTTTCAGATCAGCCATATACACACAACCTGAGCTATGAAAAACATGAACAATGTATCAGAATTCATCCTGCTGGGCCTCACTCACAATCCAGAACTGCAGAAACTCTTGTTTATTATGTTTTTAATCACCTACTTGATCACACTGGCAGGTAACCTGCTCATCTCAGTCATCATCTTCATCAGCCCAGCCCTGGATTCCCCCATGTACTTTTTTCTGTCCTGTTTGTCCATTAGAGATGTTTTCTACTCTTCTTCCATAGCCCCTAAAATGATCTTTGACTTGATCTCTGAAAAGAACACCATATCCTTCAATGGCTGCATGACTCAGCTCTTCGCAGAACATTTCTTTGCGGCAGCTGAGATCATCTTATTAAGTGTCATGGCCTACGACCGCTATGTGGCCATCTGTAAGCCCTTGCACTATGCAACCATCATGAGTCACCCTATGTGTGGATTCCTGATGGGGGTGGCTGGGATTCTGGGATTTGTGCATGGAGGGATCCAGACTTTGTTCATAGCCCAGTTACCATTCTGTGGCCCCAATGTCATCGACCACTTTATGTGTGATTTAGTACCTCTTCTAGAGCTGGCCTGCACAGACACTCACACCTTGGGGCCTCTGATAGCTGCCAACAGTGGATCATTGTGTTTCCTCATTTTTTCCATGCTGGTTGCTTCCCATGTCATCATCCTGTGCTCCCTAAGGACTCATATCTCTGAAGGGCGTCACAAAGCTCTGTCTAGTTGTACCTCTCATCTCTTTGTTGTCATCTTATTCTTTGTCCCTTGTTCATACCTGTATCTAAGACCTCTAACCTCCTTCCCCACTGACAAAGCTGTGACTGTGTTTTGCACCCTATTTACACCTATGTTGAACCCTTTAATCTACACCCTCAAAAATAAGGAAGTGAAAAATGTCATTGAGAAGCTCTGGAAGCCATAATGAAAACTGATAATAAATAAATCTTATGACACAAACATTTAGGCAACAATATCTGGTGATATTTTATAGAGAGTTATTCTATTTCTTGATCGATTAAACTTGGGACAGTCAATTATCTTATCCTGTCTCCATCAATTTTTATTAGGAGGACATATAGTAGGCTGCGCTGACATATTCATTAAGGCCCAGTAGCAGTGCCAACAGCCCATGATACTTTTAGGAGCCCTTGAAATGCTTAATTTCTTTAAAAGAAGAAGAAGAAAATGAATATAATCTAAGTACAACTGGATTATATTTCTCTTTATGCCAATACACTCATAAAATACAACTTTTAATACTATTTATGGAGGAAAGAACTTACAAGGGCAAAAGTTTCAAGGGCTCACAAAATTTATATTGTTGTCCTGCTTGTGGGTATGAAACGGATTGACAGCAACATTCTTGACACCTTTCATACCCAGCCCTATAGTTAGAATGAAGTTTTATTTTACAAGAGGACAAACAACTATATATGAAAGGGCTAAAAAGAGCATTTTCATGAAAACTTACTTTTAAAAAATTATATCTCCATTCTCTATAGTATACAATTATCTACAAAAAGAATTGAAAGTATTTTTTTTAGACAGAGTCTCGCTCTGTCACCCAGGCTAGAGTAGAGTGGCATGATCTTAGCTCACTGCAGCCTCTGCCTCCTGGGTTCAAGCGATTCTCATGCCTCAGCCCCCCAAATAGCTGGTATTACAGGTGCACATCACCATGCTCAGCTAATTTTTGTATTTTTAGTAGAGACAGGGTTTCACCATGTTGGCCAGGCTGGTCTCAAACTCCTGAACTCAGGTGATCAACTCACCTTGGCCTCCCAAAGTGCTGGGATTACAGGCGTGCACCACCGCACCCGGCAAGAATTGAAAGTATTATTGACTGGAGCAAAAGAAATAGAATTGATGAATGTAACTGATAAAAATAACAATAAAGTTAAGGCAAAAAATATCTGTACATTAAAATCAGGTTTAGATGCCAGCAAAGGAAAAGAAAGCTCTGAAAACTAAACAGCTGTCATAGGAAATTGTCAGAGACATAGAAATAAGTTTGTGTCATGAAACTGGATGACAGTGATCACAAATCTAGATTATAGAAAAGAATCCATACCATGAATGCAATGAAATGCTAAAAGATTCAGATATAGTCAGATGCTTTGAAGTTAGGGATTAAGAACCTTGGATCAAACATACTTGATTTCTCACCTGGTCACCGCATTAATTAGCCTTATAAATGTAATCAAATCGTTTAACCTCTCTACCTGTTCCTTCATCAGTAAAAGGAAAATAACATTACATTTTTTTCTCAATTATGATAATTAAATAATTTAAATTGAAATCATGAGTCAGCTGAAAAGTCATAAAAATTGCTCCAACACTGAATACCCTTCAGGGCTGTCACGTGTGCAGCGAACTGCAGTTCCTGACAACAATAACAAGAACATCACTACTCTTCTTCAGTCCCCACAGGCACAGCAGGATTCAGTGTCTGTCTCAGATCACTGCATTTCAAAATCTAACATTAATGTCATCCATTTACACATACAGACAGCACAACGGTAGGTTGTTTTCTTACCTAGGACACTTACTGGAGCCAGCAACCAGGTCTTTGGAAATTAAAGTCTATCCCATCACTTACTTTCTCTTCTGAGATGAAAATACTCTTCAATGTCTCTGCAGTTACAAATGAGAGAGCTGGTGGGAGCCACTGGGAGATGCCTGAGCAGAACTAAGTTTAGAAGCTCTGAAGAATGAAAGATCCCATCCTGTTCTGGTCCTCTGAAAGAAGGAGAAAGAAGAGTCAGTGCCAGGGACCAGAAGATCTGTCTCTGTACTGAGCTTGTGGTTCCTGTGGGAGAGCCCAGAAACATGTTTTCTTAACCATGGAGTTGCACATCACCAGATACGGACATTTTCTATGTTCTCAGGACTTTATATCAGGTCACATCTTGCATACAATGCCTTTTTAAAAATAAATGCATTGTCATAATTTCCTATCAGTGCCTATTCTGTAAATACGTGCAAACAACAGCATGTTTTTTAAAATTAAATGTATCCTTTAAAAATGTATTGTATACCATTTGACCCAGCAATCCCATTACTGGGTATATAACCAAAGGATTATAAATCATGCTACTATAAAGACACATGCACACGTATGTTTATTGCAGCACTATTCATAACAACAAAGACTTGGAACCAACCCAAATGCCCATCAATGATAGACTGGATAAAGAAAATGTGGCACATATACACCATGGAATACTATGCAGCCACAAAAAAAGGATGAGTTCATGTCCTTTGCAGGGACATGGGTGAAGCTGGAAACCATCATTCTCAGCAAACTAACACAGGAACAGAAAAACCAAACACCGCATGTTTTCACCCATAAGTGGGAGCTGAATGATGAGAACACATGGACACAGGGAGAGGAACATCACACACTGGGGCCTGTTGGGGGGTGGGGAGCTAGGGGAGGGATAGCATTAGGAGAAATACCTAATGTAGATGACGGGTTGATGAGTGCAGCAAACCACCATGGCACATGTATACCTATGTAATAAACCTGCACATTCTGCACATGTATCCCAGAACTTAAAGGATAATTTTTTAAAAATGTAGTTGTAGTTCCCAAGAAAAACAGAATGATAAATAGGATAATATAAAAATAAGAATAATGACAATTGTGATAGTGATTATAACTAATTTTTATTAAGCACTTTCTGTGAATAAAGTCCTGACCTAAGCACTCACTTTTTGTTTTATATGTATTGGAAGCAGTAAATTTCTTTTTTAGTATTTTATCTGACAGATAAAATTGCATATATTTATCATGTACAACATGATGTTTTAAAATATGTATACTTTCTGGAATTGAGGTGGATCAGCAGGACTGCTTTCCGAGCACCAGTCACAACCCTGCTGGTCAAAGCAGGATGCAGTAAAGAAACGGACTGAAATCAGCTAAAACCAAGATGGCAATGAAAGTGACTTCTGGTCACTCTCGTTGCTCATTATACTCTAACTATAAAGCATTGGCATGCTAAAAGACACTCCCAACAGTGCCCTGACAGTTTATAAATGCCATGGCAATGCCCAGAAGTTACTTTATATGGTTTAAAATAGGAGGAACCCTAGGTTCTGGAAACTCTCCACCTGTTTTCCAGAAAATTCATGAATAACCACCCACTACTTATGATAGTTAAGGAGTAGCTATAAATATAGCTAGCCAGCAAGCAACGAGCACTACTCTGCCTATGGAAAACCTTGCTCTGTCTATGGAAAAGCCATTTTCTTGTCCTTTGTTGCTCTAATAAATTTACTTCGTTTGTTCTGAATTCTTTCTGGCACAAAGCCAAGAAACTTCCCAGGCTGAGCCACAGTTGGGGGGTTCATCTGCATCATCTTTCCTGGTGACTACAAAGGGACCAATAATGTGAAGGGACTAACGAGCTGAAGGGATCTGAGGGAGACATTTACCTGAACCCCAAATTAAGACCAATTGGCACCATTTGGCCTTCATGGATGGGAGAGTGTCCCCTTTGTTCACCCTCCTATTCAGACGATTGTTTCTATTCAGGCCTTTTTGTTTCTTTTGTTATTTTGAGAGGTCCCTCATTGCACTCTGGATTTTTTTACATTCCCTCTTGGATTGTGGGTTAGAGTCCCACCCTACGGGCAGTCTTGGTCTTTGTCATATCACCATTTTCAGCGGCCTCCTCTAGTCCCTCTTTTTCCTCAACCAAAATGCTTTCTTCCCTTTTTGTGGAATTCAGACTATGAGAATCCTGTCACCCTATTTTTTGGGGGTGGGGGTTAAAAAAACTAAGAATTTTATTGGCACAAATTACTGGTTTCTATCCCATATTTTCTCAACTATCATTTTTTATTTTGTATTTTTTACTTTAAGTTCTGGGATACATGTGCAGAACGTGCAGGTTTGTTACATAGGTATACATGTGCCACGGTGGTTTGCTGCATCCATCAACCCATCATCTAGGTTTAAAGCCCCACATGCATTAGGTATTTTTCCTAATGTTCTCCCTCCCCTTTCCCCCCAACCCCCAACAGGCCCTGGTTTGTTATGTTCCCCTACCTGTGTCTATGTGTTCTTATTGTTCAACTCCCACTTATGAGTAAGAACATGAGGTGTTTGGTTGTCCATTCCTGTGTTAGTTCGCTGAGAATGATGGTTTCCAGCTTCATTCATGCAAAGGAGATGAACTCATTCTTTTTTGCTGTCACCCTATTTTCACCTCTCCTTCTATACTTTGCTTATTACAACACCTCTTTTCTTGTATTCCATTTGCCAGTGGATGCAGTCATCACTCTACTGCTCACTCATATCTCATAATTCACTTTCATCACACCCTGCTAACTGTACTTACACCCTCTTTGCAGGAACTGGTGACAACTTCCCCACTGACCTTTCTTGAGAAAAAAAGGTGAGAATTTAAAAGGGAAAATAACTGGGCTCTCACTAGACTTAGAGAAACTTCTGTAGAGATCCTCATTAGACACAGGGACGATGGTGAGCATCCCGAAAAACTCACCACTAGGGTGCCTTTTAGGCAATTGGAGCAAATTCATATTGACAGCTTCAAGAGAAAGAAATTCATTTCCTGCTGCAATACCATTTGGGTCCAATACAAATTGGAAAACCAAGAAATTTGGCCTAAAAAGGGTTCTTTACATTATAATACTATTTTACAGTTGGACTTATTCTGTGAAAAGGAAGGAAAATGGACAGAGGCCCCTTATGTACAGGTGTTTACAGCCCTTAAACAGAACCCTCACTTAAGGGAGAGCTGCAGGATGTGTCTGGCTCATGTTACTTCCGGATACCAAGAAACTGCACTTCCTAGATGATACCCTCCTAGATGCTCTCCCTAGGAGGCCCACATGCCCCCTGGAGCCTCCTCAGTTCCCTGATTCTGAGGGGAGTCCACTAGTTCTCCAGTACAGGATTTCACCTAAGGTCATCAGACATCCCTCCCGCTTAGCCAGTTAGGCCCAACCTATACGCCCTGCTGCTTGAGGAAATAAGCCCAACCAGTACCACCAGGAGTGAGGCCCCATATCAGCCCCTAAAATTGAACCTGTGTCCATTGCAAGAGGTAGCTGACAGATATAGGGGAACAATCAGAGTACATGTGCCTCCTTTTGTGTCTGATTGGATTTTATGCAAGGAGAAATTTGGCCCATTTTTGGAGGATCCAGGGAAGTTTACAGAGGAGTTTGTTAAATTGACCATATACTTTGACTTAACTTGACAAGACTTGCAAATATTATTGTCCACCTGCTGTACCATAAGATAGAAACAAAGGATTCTGGGTACTGCCCATGAATACGCAGATGGAGTAACTGCTTGAAACAAAAGCCATGCCATTTATCATGTGGAGGGAGATGCAGTTCCAGACCTGGACCTCAGTGAGATTGCCAGAGGGGTTCCCAAGATTTCAAATGCAGAAATCACATGGTAACTTATTTAAGAGAAGGTATGGAAAAGTGTATGGTTAAGCCAGTTATGACGAGGTTACAGAAGTAACTCGGGGAAAGAAGAACATTCTGCTCTGTTTCAGGACAGTATGGCTGAGGCACTCAGGAAATATACTAATGCAGACCAGACTCCTGGGAAGGGCAAGCTCTCGTAGGTGTGCATTTTATTACTGGATCTGCCCTTGACTTAGGAGGAAACTACAAAAGGCAGAAATGGGACCTCAAACACCCAAGAGCCAACTCTTAAACACGGCCTTTGGAGTTGACAACAATAGGGGCAAGGCAGAGGAGGTGAAGAAAATCCAAAGAAATAGCCAAAAAGCATAATTGTTAGTGGCTGTCTTAAACTCCGTGCCACCTCAGGATTACCCATTCTGAGAAAGTGTCACGAAATCGGCCTCTGGAATGTCCAGGTGAGAGTCCCTGACTTGCTGTCCCCTGGGCCAGTGTGTTTTCTGTAAGTAAGAGGGCCATTGGGAAAGGGACCTCCTCAGCTCTGGAGAAAGCCTGGGCCACCCACCTCATAAAGGCTGAGAGAACAGAGGATTGAATGGGCCCAAGTCCTCCATGGTTTCCACTGGACATCTTGCCATCTCCACAGAGGAGCCTTGGCTAACTCCTGATTTGGTAGGTAAGAAGACAGTTCTTATTGGGTAAGAGTTCTGACCCATTTCTCAGGGCCAGTGTCTTCCTGCTCTTATACCATAACAGAGATTAATGTCCAAGAATTAGGAGATTCACCCACTGCCTTGGTTACAATGTGGGGACCATAGGTTTTAAACCTGAGTGCCCTATGTCTTTACTGGGAAGAGACTTACATTCCCAATTACAGGCCACAGTTCAATTTGAGGAGCCTTATGATAAGGCAATAGGCCACGAAGGGCTCTAAGTGCATAACTTAATACAGACAGATAAATAAAAGACCTCGCTTCCACTGCATGTTACTTCTCAAGTAGACCCCTCTGGGAAACAGAAGTTGCTGGTAGAGCTGTTAATGTACCCTCAGTCCAGGTTACCTTGAAGCCCAATGTTGGTTACCCATGGAAGAAACAATATCCATGAGACCTGAAGCACAATTGGTCATACAACCCCTGATAGCAAAATTTCTAAAGTATGGACTACTACAACCCTGGCAGTCCCCATGTAACACCCCCATCCTGCCTGTAAAGAAAGAAAATGGGGAATACAGATTTAAGACCCGAGGACAGTTAATGAGGTAGTAGTCCCTGTCTACCCAATAGTTCCTTTTTTTTTTTTTTGAGACAGAGTCTCGCTCTGTC